AAAGAAAGAAGAAGACAGTGCAGAGAGGAAATAATATTTTTTGGGGGGGGGGTTGTTTTTTTTTAGGAAGACAGTAGAAGAAAGTTAACGGATGAGAAAACAACAAGAACTATCAGGGAATATACAACTTGAAATATAATTTGAAAAGAAGAAGAATCGCAAACGTGAAGAGAACAAGAAACAGTCAGAGCGAGAGCGAAAGCGGCACAAGGCACAATGAACGGCGGTCGCAAAGTATGGAAAATGGCGGACACTCCGCTCCATATATACTGCTAGGGGGGAGGGGAGCGGAGTTTTCCCGCCAAATCGTTAGCTATCAATCTCCCAGCCATAGGTACTACGCAGGCGCAGTACCCATATGTGTGATGCACAGAGGCCACGACGATGAAATACACATAGATCAACAATGATGAAGATTAATCAAGCTGCAGAGTTTTCATTTCTGTGTAATGGTTAAAACATTTATAGAGCACCTTGTCTTATTAAATGAAGAAAGAGAGAAGAACTGCCATTTTTAAAAAGTTAAATTTCAAAGTAATTTCTGGATCTTAGACTATAAAAACTGATGTTATACTGAGCCAAAATGGCATGGTGGTTAGGGTATTGGATTGGGGATTTGGGAGACCCAGGTTCCAGTTCTCACTTGGCCAGGAAGCTCACCAGATGACTCTGGGCCAGTCACAGACTCTTAGTCCAACTTAGCTCACAGGGTTGCAGGATAAAATGTGAGTTCTTCACAAGAGGGGAAAAAGGTGGGATATAAATGCAATGTAATAATAGTAATAATAACATATTATTCACCAAGTTCAATTTTTTCAAAGTGCCTAATATCTTGAATATGCAGCAATGCTAAATTCTAAATTCTTGTCAACAAGCATAACTGACATTACAGAATGTCATCTTCAACGGAAAGGAAAGAAAAAAAAGGGCCAGTGTGGTGTAGTGGTTAAGAGCATGGGACTGGGACTCAAATGATCTGGTCCCCGCTCAGCCATGGAGCCAACTGGGTGACTTTGGGCCAGTCACAGACTCTCAGCCCAACCTACCTCACAGGGTTGTTGTTGTGGAGATAAGATGTAGGAGGAGATGTAAGCTGTCTTGAGCCCTTCGTAGGAAAAAGGCAGGATATAAATCGAAAAATAAATGAATAAATGTTCAGATCAAAATTAATGTTGAAAATGAGTTAGCTTCTTTCATTTCAGATGTACAACTAATATTCTCAGAGGGAAGAATACAGTGGGCACTTCTCCCAGGAGGAATTTACATATCCCTGCTCAAGGTAAGTCTAGTGTAAATCAGTATGTCTCTGCCTAACTTACAACATAAGGTTACTGGGCAAGTAAGATTTTAAAAAAAAAAAATCTCAGGCTGGGAGTGAGTCCCCTGAAATCATGGGACTTGCTTCTGAGTAAACATTCATAGAATCCTTAGAGAAAGTATAGAATGCAAGAAAGGTGATTCAAGAGAGGAGAAAGGAGGTACGTAATTAGGACAGAAACCATGAGTTTCCATTGTTCTTGGTAGATTTTTTTGAGAAATAAAAAGCAGTTTTGAGGGATACAGAACACAAAAGATCTCAGTTAAGAAAGAAATCACAGATAAGTACTAGTAGATAACAAGTCATATCTACCTAACAATTTTAGTTGAGGGTTTATTAGCTTCTGAATCCATTCATACCATATTACTACTCCAGAAAGCAAAGTCACAGCATGTTCCAGTAAACTGACAGTTTTGCTCCATGAAAACTGTGACATTGACATTACTACAGATGCTGTTACACACACAGCATATGGGAACAGAAGGGTATTTCATGCAAGCATGCACTGCTCACATGTTTTTCCTCTGCTTAGCCAGAAAAAAACTCATATATATCATATTGCAAACAATTCAGAATACACTCTTAATGAAGAATGGATGTAACTAGGTACAGTACTGTGTGTGTATTAAACCCCAAGAGCACTTCAGGAACCTTCACTCTCATCACATCATGGGCAACCCTGACAAATAGTGCTGTTGAACTATTCCTCTTCTACTTCCCTCAAATGATGCATTCCCAAGCATCAGACTCTTTGTGCCCACAGCTTGATTTATAAGGAAAAAGTTTCATCAATGAAGATAAATATTGAATGGCACCTTTATTTTTTCTGAAGTCATTTTTATTTATTCTTTAACTTAACCTAAGTACAAGATGGCTCATTAATGTATTAATCCAAGCCCAATAATGATATAATTATGTGTCCCAACCTACCCATATTTAGACAGAAAAAAATATGCTACCAGAGCATGCTGGAAACTAGAAGATTTTTACTGTCTAAAACATGCAAAGGATTTTGTCATAAATCATTAAAAAGAGAACAGGCCCCTCCCTTACATGTCTTTCTCCTTTTGCTTACCCTGAAACAAAGGAGACTTCCTAGTTTGCTAAAACAGTTTCCCTGTAACACTAAGAAATGGATTGATGACTCCCTGAAAAAGTGGATTAATCCTTGTTTATAGCAAGTGCTTAAATCAGTTTCCTGGTGTGGAAATTTCAAGGAGGCTAAACATTAACAAACAAGGAAATTTCTTTTGCAGCTACATGGAAAGAGGAAGAGGGAAAATACTGTTTCAGCACACCATCTGGGGAAACTCTGCTAAGGGAAATACGTGTGTGATATACCACCTACTACATTATTCTCAGGGTGACCTAAGATCACAAAATGCCAAGACAAAACAAAACCTTCACTCAGAAACTCTTAGTCCTAAGGCTGATTAGTGGGACCAAGGCATGCTTGTCATCTACTTTCCAGCTCCAAAGCAACTGACAGTGGATCAAAGTTGTACCAAAAACAGAACTCTTCACAGGTTCTCTTTCTGTGACTAACAGATGCAGCCCCCCACATGAGTTCCAGGTTGGTCCCTCTCCTACTATGATATTCTACCTGGAAGTTACATGATACAGCTTAAGAGTACACCTCAATCCTCTAGCCAATGATAAAAGTGTGCTGCTCTTTTGTTCTATGAACATGACAGCAACCATAACCTTTTTGTTATTGTTACGGGCTGTCAGCATCTCTGACCTATGGCAATCCTATGGATTAATGTCCAGTACAATTATCTGCCCCCCCCACCCCACCCGACCCCGGCAGCCCTGGACAGCTCTTGGAAACTCAAGACTCACTGTTGGCTTTCTGCCTTTGACTTTCCATGACTACCTTCTCCAATGAATTATGCCATTCCATGATATGCCTGATGTACATATAATGTCAGTTTCATCATTTTAACTTCCAGACAAAGTGCTGGCTTGAATTGATCTCAGATTCACTTGTTCATCTTTCCATTGGTCCAGGATATTTGCAAAGCTTTCCCGTAACGCCATATTTTGAATTCATCAGTTTTCTTCCTGTCAGATATCTTCACTGTCCAGCTTTCATACTCATACACAGTGATCAAGAAAAGAATGAACTTGAACTTGGCCATCTCCAGTGAAATGTCCTTACACTCAATAATTATTTTCTAGTTCTTCAATGCTGCCCTTCCAAGTCTTAGTTTTCTTCAATTTTCTTGGCTGCAGTCTCCCTTTGAACTGGTGACTGTGCCAAAGTATGCAAAACCTTGCACAATTTCCATTTCTTTACTGTTCATTGAAGTTGTGTGTTTCTTTTGTGATTTTATTTTCCTAATACTGAGCAGCAGCCCAGTCTTTCTACTGTCTTCTTTTACTTTTATCAGAAATCATTTCAATTCAATGCTTTTGCCAGTAATATAGTACCAAATGAATATTTGAAATCATTGATGTTATCTTCCTTGTTGGCATTTTAGTATTCCTAATGTAGTTTTGAATTTCCCTTTGATTTCTTGGATTTTCTGCAAGAGGTCTCATATTTTTCCTTTTTTTTCTCTTCTATCTCTTTGCACTGATCATTGTATAGTTGTTTTTATCTCAAGGTGACAAATCACTGAAAAATTACATTAAGGATCCTGACCCTATTTCTGTCACCTTTTGCTTTTGGCTTCTTGTCTGTCTTTGGCAACTGTAAGTGTCATCATCCATTTAGGCTTTTTTCCGTTCTTTCTGCTGCAGGAATTGTCTTCTAACCATCACCTCATAAGAATGAAAATGAATTGAACTAACATATCTGGCTATAAAATTCCTTTACTATTTTAAAGCTGTTTGCTTCCACCTGATTGTCCTAATTTTTTACTTATACAGGTGAAGACTTCCTGATAAAGTTTGCTGTCCTGTTTGTTGTAAAAGTTGTAATTCCAGCTCTCTTTCTTCAAGGGCATAAGCCTATTAATGTTACTCACCTCACAAATCTGCCATCAGAGTTTCTCAAAAATACATATTCTAAACATTATAACTTAGCTGCAGTTCTAGTTCTGATTTTCCAATTTAATCAGGTTGGACTGCTTTGTGATCACTTGATCCAAGTTTATTCCTAACAGTCTTGTCATTTTATCCTCACTGAATGCTAGCAGTAAACCAGACAATGCAATGTCTCCTGAGGGTTGTACAACAACTTGATGAACCAATTTTTACTTAGTTCATTGAGACATAGCTGTTCCTGCTATTGTTAGTAGTATTTATTTTCTTATCTGTGCAAAAGTAATGAAGCCCATCATGATTATGCAATGCACTTTAACAGGAATCCCAGCAATGTTAACGTAAGACAACTAATGTGACAGATAAAAACATTGTTATTAGTAAAACATGAAGACCTAAGCAACAAAATGAAGCCTCTTCCATAATGTAGACAGCACACTCCTGAAGAATGTTTTCTCAGAAGAATGTCTATGTTCAGTGGGACTCACTCTCCAAAAAATGCTTACTGAATTTTAGCCTGTATCTCCTGACCAAGCAGAGTTGTACTAATCCCTTTTCCTGAACAGTTCTGAAAACATGAAAGCATGTACACTTCTTAGACAAGAGAGAAAAAAGAAGATATGTTTGCATATATAGAACAGAAAGTATTCAGTCAGTAAAATCAAATATAAAATAGATATATATTAAAACCTACCGTTTAGCCTTCTTGTAATTTTCCAGCTGTAGTACTTGCATATGTTTATATCTTTCCAATTCACACTGTCCACAGAGATCCTCAAGATATAGCAAATGATTCTCCATTTCCTTAAAGCTTTCTTCCAATTGCACTGTTATAACAAATATTCATACATCAGAATAAGTAAATTTTACTTCCCCTCTACATTGGTTTATCTGCTATCTGGTTCCATCTACCAATTTAAAGTCACACCTGTCACAAAAAGTCAGGTTGCTTACCTGTAACTGTCATTCTTCGAGTGGTCATCTGTGCAGTCACACATAATGGGGCCTGCACAGTGCCTGTTGTCAGCCAGAATACCCAAGCTACAATAGTTTTTGGCGGGAACTCCACACCCCTTCCCCCTGGTGCTATATAAGGCGGAGTGCCCGCTATTTTCCTCAGTCTCTGCAGACTAGCAGATTACCCCCTAGCAGAGCGTGCCATCTAGTAAAGGAGTCGATAGAAAGAGACTTACCATCCTGTCCCTCGACACCAAGTGGGGCCAAAGGGCGGGTTGTGTGACTGCCCAGATGACCACTCGAAGAACGACAGTTACAGGTAAGCAACCTGACTTTCTTCTTCATGGACTCTGTGCATCACACATAATGGGTGATTAGCAAGCTTCACTCACCGGAGGTGGGTTAGTGTCGTCAGTGAAGGATGGATGAAAGGACAGCCCGTCCGAAGGAGCAATCTTGCCTGGCTCGGACGTCCTGCCTATAGTGTCTGGTAAAGGTACAGGGAGTTGTCCATGTAGCAGCTTTACAAATGTCCAGCAGTGGGACACCCAATGAGAAGGCCGAGAAGGCTGCCATGGCTCTGGTAGAATGACCCCTAGGGGTAACGGGAAGATCTATCTTGGCCAGCTGGTAAGCCAGTTCAATAGTCTGTACTATCCATTTCGATAGTCTCTGGGCAGAGAGAGGTGTACCCTTGTCAGGTTTGGAGTATTTGATGAATAGGTGTTTAGTTTTCCTGAAACTCTGTGCATGACCGATAGAAAGCTAGGCACCAACGCACATCAAGGGAATGGAGAGATTTCTCTACTGGGGTGGACAGGGATGGCAAGAATGCCAGAAGCACAATGTGAAATGCTGTGGCCACCTTAAGGAAAAACCCCAGATCTGTGCGCAGAACTACCTTCTCCTTGTGGAAGTTAAGGTATGGTGGATCCACACGGAGGGCGGAAAGTTCGCTTGCCCTCCTCGCTGAGGTTATGGTGTCCAAAAAGGCTACTTTCCAAGACAGCAATCTTAAATCCGTCATTGCGAGGGGTTCGAAAGGAGCTTTGGTGAGTCCATGGAGAACTACTGATAGACTCCAAGTTGGTACCGACGGTCGGATTGGAGGATGGAGATTTTGTAATCCCTTAAGGAAGCGCCGGATGAGCACGTGAGAAAACACGGATGAACGCAACAGAGGGCCGCGGAAATGGGATATAGCTGCGATGTAGACCTTGATAGAGGTAGGTTTAAGTCCAGACTGGTGCAAAGAAAGCAAAAAGGAAAGATGTTATTGATAGAAGCTAATTCTGGAGTAAAACGGCTCGCTTCCACAAATGTGGTGAAACGTTTCCATTTCGCCTCATACAACCTACGAGTGGATGGTCTAAGGGCAGATTGTAGGATGAACTCGATCTCTTGTAGAGATGATACAGCTTCGGAGGAGAGTCAAGTGAGGTCCTCCGGTACCAACTGACGCTCTGGCATTGGAACCGAGGTGTCTTGTGAAAGTCTGTGAGGGTTGGTAGAGGTGGTTAGTGCAGGAGCCATGGGGTAAGGTTGAGGATGTTGAGGTCGGGATGAAGAATCATCCCCCTCCCCTGTGTAATTAGGTGAGGGATGTGTGACAGACGGAAGAACATATGTCTTGACAGCCTGAGAGCGGTTGGGAACCCGGGTTGACAGGGCCACCATGGTGTAACGAGAATGACTCTTGCTCGGTCCCGGGCAGCCTACTCCAGGATGTGGGTAATCAACAGAATCAGTGGAAAGGCGTACAGGAATGAATCCAACCAACTCACCATCAGGGCGTCCCATAGTAAGTTCGAACCCGTTCCCGCCCTGGAGCAATACGTCTTGCATTTCAAATTCGAAGCTGTCACAAACAGGTCTAATGTTGGGGTACCCCACCGGGTAAACAAGTCTCTGAAAGTTTGGTTGTCCAATTCCTACTCGTGGGTTGACGACATCTTTCTGCTCAAGGTATCTGCTTCTTGGTTGTGTACTCCTGCTAGATGGATTGCTATGAGCAAAATCGCTCTGGGGATACACCAGTCCCAAATCTGTATGGACAGATGGGCCAACGGTACCGACTTTGTACCACCCTGTTTGTTCAGATAAAAAACAGTAACTGTGTTGTCGGAGGCCACCTGTACTGATCGGTTCCGTAACGTGGGTTCGAAAGATTGTAGTGCCTTGAAAACTGCTAGCAACTCAAGAAAGTTGATGTGGTTGGACCTCTCGTGTGCTTGGCAGGTGCCCTGTGTCTGTAGGTTGGAACAGTGAGCTCCCCAACCCGTGAGAGACACATCAGTATGGAGTGAAACGGAGGGTTGTCACTGGTGAAACGGAACGCCGACGGTGAGATTGTTGGGGTTCATCCACCATGTCAGAGTCTGTCGAACTGAGGCGGGAGGAAGGAGACATCGCCTCAGGGAGTCGCGGAGGGGCTGGAACACCGTGTTGAACCACAGCTGGAGTGGTCGCATTCGTAGTCTGGCATTCGGAACCACTATGATAGTTGACCCCATATGGCCCAGCAGTTTTTGAATAAGCAATGCTCGAACTTGCCCGCCTTTCTGAACCCAGCCGGCTACTGAACAAAGTCTGTCCATTCGGGTCCATGGTAAAAATGCTCGTGTTTGGACCAAATTGAGTTGCGCTCCGATGAACTCGATGACCTGTGAAGGAGTGAGACAGGATTTTTCGGTATTAATAATGAGCCCAAGTCCTCCAGAAGAGTGCACGTAAGGCAAATGTCTGCAACAAGTCAGTCCTGAGACGGGGAAACGATGAGCCAATCGTTTAAATATGGATAAATTTGAACACCTTGTTGACGAAGGTGAGCATGTATCGGAACCATGCACTTTGTAAATACCCTGGGGGCTGTGGCAAGTCCGAAGGGGAGGACATTATATTCAAAAATGTCGGAGCCAACTGTAAATCGGAGAAACCTCCTATAAAACGGATTGATACCTATATGGAAATAGGCATCCTTCAGATTGATGGATGCGAACCAATCTAGCAGGGGTAGGATATTTTGTAAGGTGGTCATACGGAATTTCTTAGTCATGATAAAGGCATTGACGCCCCTTAGATCGAGTATGGGGCATAAGCCACCACCCCTCTTCGGTACTGTAAAATATCTAGAGTAGAAACTGCAGGATCCATCGGAATGGGAGAATTGTCAGATTGCTCCCTTATGAAGTAGCTGGGTTACTTCTTCTCTAAGAATTTCTGATGAGGCGGTGTATAGCACCGGACCCGAAGGAGGGATGACGTCGAACTCGATTCTATATCCAAATTCAATTATGGAAAGGACCCATTTGTCAGATGTGATGGTCTCCCAAAGAGGGAGTCAGCTTTGCAGCCAGCCCCCATAGGGAGGGTGGAGGGGTGTAGGAGAGAGAGGATTGGTTCGCAGAGCCCGTCAACGTTGCCTCTTATCAACGGGTTGGCGGCGGTGGCCCTGTTGACATTGGGCCACCGCGTCATGTGCGATTTCGTTGATCCCGCTGGGGGAATTGTTGACGTGGCTGGAAACGGTGGTAAGGTTGGTATCTTGAGTATCGAGATTGATGCCACTTACAACGGGTCGAGCCTGGGATCGCCATCTTCCTGGCAGTGGCCCGAGCATTATAAATATGCTCGAATTTGTGGTCCGTCCTATCATGGAAGAGGCCCAATCCGTCGAATGGCATCCCCTCGATCCGTCTCTTGGTCTCCTCTGGGAAGTTGCACTATCATAGCCAGGCATGCCTTCGGAGAGCGACAGAGCCAACTAGAGCGTGGGAATTGCAGTCAACATGATGGCGGGCTGTCGTGAGCTATTGGATCGCGAGCTGCATTGTCTCTCTTATGAAGACCCGGGCTATATCACGTTGTTGCTCTGGGATGGACGAGGTGATCAAATCCAACCGCTGCATCAGAAAATACTGATACCTCGCCATCGTCGCCTCGTAGTTGGAGATTCTCAAGCCCAATCCCATAGCCGCATAAATGTGCCTCGCCATAAGGTCAATTTTTCTTCCTTCCTTGTCCCTAGGGGCCGAGTGCTCTCTGTTGTCTCACCCCTGAGAGGACTCGACCATGATAGAGTTGGGCTTCGGGTGTTTTATAAGGAAGGGAATATCCTGTTCCTTGACTTTGTACATGGATTCGTACCTTTGAGATGTCAACTGAGGTTGATCAGGAGAGGTCCATGTATCCTCCATAGCCTCCCACAGGGTTGTAATCAATGGGATGGTAATTGTGGAAGATTGTTCTTTACAGACAATATTATAAAAGTTGTCCTTGTTAACGTTGGGCTGATGCTCAACCTCAATCTCCAAAACTCTAGTTAAGCGCCCCATAAGTTCACTGAAGGTAGCACAGGACTCTTCGGGTGACCCAGGTCCCTGGGTGGAGATGACTGCCGCAGGGGATGTAGAACAGTCATCCAAGTCCTCAGAGTCCGAGTTGTATGGGTATGGAGGACTGGAGGAAGATTGAGCCGGAGAAGGAGGATGGCGAGAGGTCGTTGGCGCCGAAGTAGAAGGGGCTTCAGCCCTTGTCTGTCAGGATTGATGACTGTATTCCCTCGGCATGTAAAAGCCGTATGGGGATGGTCCCCAGTATTGAGGTTGTGAAGCCTCCGGCCCTTCGTAAGGCATCGGGACTCATGATCTGGTGGATTGTCCCGATGAACAGCGATGCTGGTGGGGTTCAACCACCGTGGTCCTCCTGGGAGCCTCCAGAGAGGAAGGCATCGGAGTTGGGGAACGAGCCGGTTGATGGCACGGCAAACATCTTGGGGGAGAGTCACGGATTTCTCCATCTGACATCGACCCATGAATGACCGGTTCGGGTGGATGTAACATGGTCGGGACCGCAGGTTCAACCCTCTGTG